GGTATGGATACTTATTTACTTTTTCACAAAACAGTGCTAGTTAATAATGTAATTTTAAGATTTAATATTGCCTAGGAGTTGGCTGATTTGCTTCTTAATTTATCACACTAGTGTTGGGAGTTGTTATTATAAATTAATTAAAATTTAAAGTTAAATTATTGTTAGATTAATTTAATGTTTTTATTTCACTAATTTAATTGTAATATTATTATATAATTTTACTTTTAAAGTTAAATTAATATTTTTTATCATTTTCGGCTCTTTTTTATGCTTATGGTGATGTTTTTTTTTTTAATTTGTATGCAGATGTCCCACTCACGTGCTAAAAAAATACTGCAAATAAGCATGCAAAATGAACAGCATGAGCTTAATGAAACCAATAACTCTGTTTTGTTTGTTAATAACCAATTTTCAAATCTGTATGACGCTTTGGTTGGGCATGATAGCGTGGCTTCTAATTCTGCTTCATCGACTTTCTTTGATAATGGCTACATTGATTGTATTGAAAATGAAAATCCTGGGGTAGAGTACATATATAACCCTAAATTGTTTGACAGTAAAAGTTTCGATAACCAAACATGCTTAAATACGCAGACATATGAAATAGTAAAGAATGTTGTTATGGAAGACATATTTCCGCTTGAAACAGAACAACTCAGTCCAAGTTCGCACTCAGTTCAAGTTCTATCTCTGTCTTACGCCATCACTTATCTACAATTCTGAAAATGCCTCTAATAGTTTTGAACCATCTCAATCGTACCTCTCTACAAGTAATGATAAATCGGATGAAGATTTGGCCGTTCCTTTGACACAAAAATCTAACAGCTCATGAAACTATACCTCCTAACTTACCTAGCTACCTTTTTTTTTTATACGATAAGGGTGACAAACGAGCACACAGTCCACCTGATGGTAAGTGGTTGCTGCGGCCCATAGACATCTACATCTATCCTCTATTACAAATCAAAATGCAGATGTGTTGTCACCCGTGAGGACTAAGATGGAATGTCTCATTTCCAGTAAAAAGGGCCTCCGGTCACCTGCACTCACCAAGCGAAACGCAGAGGTAAACCTCTACTTCACGCTGGTTTTCTGTGAGATCGTGGTACCACCCCGGTTCGAGCTGGCCCATCCGTGCGACAGCAAGAGCTGCCGCGTAGCTCTACCAATGTTAAAAATTAACCCCAACTGCCTGTCCTGAATTAATAAATAAATTAGTCGATTACAGTAATACGGATTCAGAATCTGAAGAACCGGTTATAAAACGAATGAAAAGGTGTCAAGTAAAGAAGGAAGAATGGACTAGTGAAATTAATATAAAGAATAGAGAAAAGGGTAAAGAATATTGTGGTAAGAAACAAGTTGATGGAGAGTGGAAAAAAAATATAAAGAAACCGAAAAAGGTGTTGAAGCCCCGGTGCAGTTGTAAGGAAAAGAGAAATAGTGTTATTCAGTGTCATAGTATTTCTGAAGATGACAGAAAAATATTATTTGATAAGTTTTGGAATATGACTTGGGATGAAAAACGAGTTTACCTAGATAATTTAGTAAAAATTTTACATACAAATAGGCAGAGATAGGAAAGACTCTCAAAAATCTAAAAGAGTTAACACTTTTATTTACCACCTAAAAAAAGGTGAAGATATGATAAGAGTCTGTAAAACATTATTTCTAAATACCTTTTATATCGGTAAATCATTTATCTGGGGTTGGAAGGTTGAAGTTGCTGGAAAGAATACTGATGAACAATTACCAGAAACTACTCGCAGAAATCTATTCGACCAAGAAATTAAAACTTTACAGGACTTTTTAGATGACTTACCTAAAATGCCTTCACATTATTCTAGAAAAAGAACAACGCAGACATACATACAACCAGACATATCATCCAAACAGCAACTTTATAAAATGTATAGAGATCATTGTGAGTCAAAAAATAAAAAAAACACTATCTGTTGCCACTTTTACAAATACCCTAACCATACAAAAAATAGCTTTATTCAAACCGAAGAAAGATTTGTGTGACATCTGTAATGGATACAAGATGGGCCATATTACTAAAAAGACTTACGAAGAGCATGTAAATAAAAAGAACGAAGCGAGAATGGAAAAAGAATCTGATAAAGAAAAAAAGGAATTTGTCTTTACTGCAGATCTCCAAGTAGTGCTTTTAGCACCGCGATCCTATGTGTCATCAAACTACTACAAAACTAAGCTGTGTGTTCACAACTGGTGTATTTATGACATGAAAACTATTGCTTTCTATGGAATGAGGCCGAAGGTGGGCTTAATTCTGATGAGTTTGCAACGATTTTAACCAATATCTTTATGAATAAAGTAGTCCCAAAAATGGGAGATAACAACAGATTCATAACTTTGTACATGGATGGGTGTACGTATCAAAATAGAAACGTCACTTTAAGCAATGCTCTCCTCAACATGGCTATGCTAATTAATGTTACAATTGAGCAAAAATATTTGGAACTAGGCCACACCCAAATGGAGGTTGACAGTATGTACGCAATGATTGAAAAAAAATAAAAAATCAAGTGATTAATGTTCCAGCCGAGTACATTACCATTTGCAAGAATGCAAAAAAATCAAAACCGTATACAGTCGAATACCTAAACTATTCATACTTTAAGAATTTTAAAAATTTACCATTTTACACCTCCATAAGACGAGGAAAAATGAAGGGAGACCCTAAGGTACATAAATTACTTAAATTTTATTAATTATTATTGCTACTGTATGTGATCGATATGATAAGTTCTGTTTCTCTTTTCCAGGTTACCGATATACGAGCTCTTAAGTATGCACCCTCTGGAGAAATTTTTTATAAACTTAAATTAACTGATGAATATAAATTACTCAACCAACGCAGGAATGCCCGAATTAACAACATTCCTTTTAATAATATACCTAAACTATACATCGAACGCAGGAAAATTACAAAAAAAAGTTCTTAGATTTACAGCAAGTAAAGAACTCAATGCCCAGAGATTACCAAAACTATTATGACAACCTTCCTCATGAAGCCTAAAATAGTGTACCTATACTTAACATTATTTAATTATTATTAAGTGTATTAACATATCTTATAATTAAAACTTAAACAGAAAAATAAACTTTTATTTAAAATTAATTTATCGAGCAAACCAGCTAACTCCTAGTTCACATACTTTAACAGGAAATGAAAAACGGATAACTCTAACGTTTCGTGGTCACTTGGAAGAGAAGGCCAAATTGGCCTCTAAAAAGCTTGGCGTACTCAGTAGAGCGGGACAGTATTTCATGCCGGCTCAACGCCTGCAACTTTACAAGGCGCAGGTTCGGCCTCACATGGAATACTGTTCCCATCTCTGGGCTGGGGCTCCCCAGTGCCAGCTTCTTCCACTTGACCGCATCCAGCGCAGAGCGGCTCGAATCGTCGACGACCGAGTTCTTTCCAATCGGCTCGACTCATTGGCACTGCGAAGAGATGTTGCATCTCTTAGCATTTTCTTTCGCATTTACCATGGGGAGTGCTCTGAGGAATTGTTCGGATTAATCCCAGCCGCCAAATTTCACGAACGCACATCGCGGCAGAACTCCCGATACCATCCACACCATCTGGATGATTGGCGGTCCACCACTGTGCGATTTAGAAGATGTTTTCTTCCTCGCACAACTTCCTTGTGGAATAGTTTACCACCAGCGATTTTTCCGGACCGATACGACTTAGGGACCTTCAAGAAAAGAGCCTACTCCTTTTTAAAAGGCCGGCAACGCATCTGCAATTCCCCTGGTGTTGCGGTTGTTCATGGGCGGCGGTAGTCACTTACCATCAGGTGAGCCGCATGCTCGTTTGCCCCCTCTCCTATAAAAAAATAAAAATAAAAACGCTGTAGTATTGTAATGAAAACATATACAGGGTTTTACAGTAACAAAAATAATAATTTACGATAATATCTACGAATGGTGATTTAGATTTTTTAATAAGTAGTCTACAAAAAATATTATACAGTTTTAAGTGTCTCCTGAAAAACTTGCTCGTATGGAGTTAGCTGGTTTGCCAATTAAGGTATCGATATACTGTTTAAACTATCTTGTTTTTTTTTTTATTCTTTTTTATTTAAGGGACTCGTTATTATTAACATGTCAGTCCCATTGTACCTTATAACTAAATAGCACAAAAATACTCAATTACTTATACAATACTTAATAAATGATAAACAATTTGAGCAGCATCTGACAGTGATTCAGAGAGTATACTTTGATATTCCACTATGTTGTACATTTTAATGTCAGTTTTGGCGACCAGTAGTTTAACTATCTTGTTATAGTTTGGAATTCAACTAGCCCTTCCAGAGCAAGTATATATATTACACACTGTTTAAATAGTAAATGGTAAAAAAAAAAGTTAAGAACCTGTATATGTTCCGCTCCTGTTTACAGGTCTCCTCCTGTTTCTAAGAGGGTTTTAGAACAAGGAAATGTCTAAGCTAACCTGATGCATGTTGAAGAATGTACGTCTTCTGCAGGTTTCCTCACAATCCTCTCTTTCCCCCTTAAGCACATATAAGGTAAATCATCCCTTAAAACTGCAATTTACAATTTCATAGACATGTAAGGTGTAAATGGTCCTTTATGTTTTTGGCATATTATGATGATGCACAGTTAACAATAGAAAGTTTAAATTATGCAGTTTATGTTGTTCAAATGCATATTATACACAAATATTTAATTAATTAACCTTTTATTCCACTCATGAATCAAATTTTTGTAGCAGTAATCTAGGAATAATATGTATGTAAGTTGACTACTTACAGAATCAATATTCATTTAACTTCTACTAATGCATATTATTTTGTCAGTGAAATTATAAGTATGTGCGATGATCATTATTGATTTATAGCTATATACTTCATGTGCCCTATAATTCTATTTTTACTTTCACAAAATGGCTGCCCAAGATTATCGATCGTGCGCCTGCAACTAACCTTGAATTGAAAGCTTACCTTTAGAGTTCCAATAGCGGATTGGCAGGAGCGAGGGTTCCGAACGCGCGCGGCGAGTCGCGAGGGGCGAAGCCCCAGGGCAGGCGCGGGCGTTGCCACGCGGTGGGGCTGTCGAATCGCTCGGCGTCGCTGCAATACAACCGACATACGCATAAGCATCACGAATCGCGGGCCCGACGGATGCCGTGCGAAATTTCGCTCCCGCGCGGAAGACACTAACGCGAAGCGTCTCGGCCTCCGGGCTGCGGGGCGGCGCGAGCGCGGAACACGCAGTACGCGGCTGTCGAGCCATCTCCTTCCCTTTGTCTCCTGGCTTGTCAGCTGAACATCAAACATACTAAATCCACCTTAATAAATCACAAAACAAAGTTACGAACCAGTAATATTAAACACGATAACTTTCACTGAAGTTTAATGGATATTCGTCGATGAAAACTTGTCTTGTGATATACACTCCCCAGGGCACACCTTCACCGTATTAACATTAAACAATAAACAGTAAACACCACACCCACAGAGTACATTATATATAGGGAACATTATATATAGGATAGTTAAACACTTATAATAATCATAGATAACACCTATATACCAGGAAATAATAATCTTGTCCAATACAAAACAACCTAATGAATTTTAGTTACCACAATTAAATCTAGATGGCACTTATCTCAAAAATAAATTAGTCTGGTTTCACATTGGTACATTATATATTAACGACTGGCCTAAAGGTCTAGATACCAGGCCATTTGTATTTATATTAGGCATTTGTATTAGGAAAGTACTCTGTGGTATTAGGCATATTTACCCGGTATATATTACTCTACTCTATGTATTTACCATTGTAGGACAGTTACTATACTCTTTGTTGTTTTGTTTTTGATCATCTTTCGTGGTGATTTCGACGTTCGTGGTTTTTTCTATTTTAGCATTTAATTTACGACCAAGGCTATCCCACTGGACTTTGTTTCGCTGCTTTTTCTATTGACTATTGGCATTTTATAAACGGACACCGATTTGCTATTGATATGGATTCTGAAAGAACTTGTTGTGTTCCTAGCTGCAAACGCCCTCGTGAGTACCTATTATTTTAATTTACATAATACGTATCTACTTTTTAATTTCGTCATAATACAAATCATACTATGATCTTACAAATATACCTACGCCACAACGACGGTGACGGCGGCATGCCCAGGTTATAAGATACCTAGCAACAACACGTACAATAAGTGCTTTAGATCTTGATTAGTGGCTTATATGTGTAAAAATTTGTCAATTTTTTTTATAGGATAGGGTGACAAACGAGCACACAGTCCACCTGATGGTAAGTGGTTGCTGTGACCCATAAACATCTACATTTATACTCAATAAAGAATCAAAATGCAGATGCGTCGTCACCCGTGAGGACTAAGATGGAATGCCTCTTTTTCAGTAAAAAGGGTCTCCAGTTCTCTACACTCACCATGCGAAACGCAGCAGTGTCAAGCTGCCATTTTACGCTGGTATTCTGTGAGAGCGTGGTCCTTCTCCGGTCGAGCCGACCCATTTGTGCTACAACTATACTACTAATATAGAGCTACAGCATGGCTCTACCACTTAGAATATATTTTGTCGTAGATCTGTTTGAGGAGTGGTGTGAGGTGTACAAGTGTCATTGTGTTTTTGGCTATTTCTTATTCTGAGAGCTGTTGATTTACTTTTTTGTTTATTATTTCTATTGGTGTTGGTTTTAGTAGTTATAAATCCGTAAGTATTTAGTAATTGTGCTGTGTTATATGTAATTAGTTAAAATAAAATGGAGGAAGATCCTCCCGATCCCGACGGGGTTCCATGTGACTCCCATACTGTTACCAAAAAACATAATAATATGCCTATCGAAATTGATCAGTTGAAGCGTAAAAGATTGCAAGTAACCAATAACTCAGCTCATCCTCAGAAAAGATTAATTACAGATCCATCTCAACCTGTACCATCTATTCAGACCTCTTATACCCATCCTGACTACATAGAAAAAAAAACATAAATATTCTAATAACGACAATGCGCCGTTTATTGTTCATGTAAGTAAGAGAGTAGATAATTTATCAACTGGAGTAGTTTTAAAACCGATAAAGTTTGGTCATTTTCTCTACCATAATAATACTAAAAATGTTGTTAGTGATGGTGTTAAGCGAATAGGACGCAATAGAATTTCTGTTGAGTTTAAAAGTGCAGCTGATGCAAATTGTTTTATTGAGAACCCAGCCCTTGCAGGTGCTAAATATGATACTGTAATCCCTTCCTATAATGTCACACGCATGGGAATAGTGAGGCAGGTCCCTGTAGAGTGGACATTAGAGGAACTCATATCATCAATCGAGGTCCCAGCTGGTTTTGGCTCAATTATTAAAGCTCGCCGATTTAATAGAAAGTCAGTTAATGAAAACCAAAGTACTGTGTGGATTCCCTCTCAAACAGTTGTTTTAACTTTTTCCGGCCAGAAACTTCCTTCTAACATTTATTGTTTTTTCACCTCAATGCCTGTTGAGCCCTACATTTTACCTCTTATTCAATGTCACAAATGTTGTCGTTTTGGACACGTAACCTCACAGTGTAGCGCATCTTCCCGTTGTTTTGTGTGTGCTCAAAATCATGAAGGAATATCATGCACAAGACAGTCTCCCACTTGCCTATTTTGTTCAGGATCTCACACGGCTAAAGATCCTTCCTGCCCTGAACACTCTAGGCAGAGATCTAGCAAACTTACCATGTCACAGGAAAATATTTCCTATCTAGAAGCATCTGCCCGTTTCCCTCAAGTCCGAAGATCTTATGCAGATGCTGCTAGAATCCTTCCTTCGTATGATCATCAGAGTCTCTATCCTATTTCAAATTCCACTTTACCTTCAGTTGTCCCCTCACAATCTCATTCTTACAGGAAAACTACATTTACTCCAAGACTTCCGCCAAATCCAGCATCAAGTCATGGATATGATAAATCTGCCCATGAGGCAATAATAGAGACCACTTCTTCTTCTTCAACTACTAATGGTTGTGCTTTAATAGGGCGGAGTATTTCCCCTAATGACAATCTCTGTGAGTTAATGATCTCCATGCTTATAAGTATGCTTTCCCGTTTCAGCGATATGGATCTCCCACTTGCCCTCCGCCTAAAAACTTACTGAGCTCATTTCATTAACAAATAACCTTCCCTCCAATACTTCAGTGGAACTGCCGGAGCATTAATAATAAGAAAAATGAATTAATTTACCTTATTAATAAATACCATCCCCTCATCCTAGCCATCCAAGAGACATGGCTTAAGCCTGGGTCCCATTTTAGGATCTCAGGTTATTCATGCCTCAGGGATGATAGGCATGATGGTCATGCTGGCTCTTTCATTCTTATCTTGTCAGAACTTACGAGGATTGTATCCTCCATCCCTCGTCCTATGGTAATTCTTGGTGATTTTAATATGCACCATACTTTATGGGGCTCCCATTTTTGTGATCCCTGGTCTTTTACATTTTTAGACATCATTGATGATTTAGATCTCTGCCTCCTTAACGATGGTTCACCTACATGTAGAGTATCCCCCCTCCAAAATCCTAAAAGTGCAGTAGATCTGTCACTCTGTTCCCCTGCCCTGTCGTCCCTTCTTTCCTGGAGAATATTACCCTTTTCCCATGGCAGTGATCATTTCCCTATTGTTATTAATCCCCCTAGCTCCTATACAGTCAATGTTCCATTTAATCCTAGGTTAAAATATAACACATCCAAAGCAAACTGGCAACTATATTCCACAGTTCTAGAGGAAGAACTATCAGCCCTTCCTCCTGTTCAGAAAGATAATGTTCTTCAGGTGTATTTTACTTTTAAAAATGCTATTTTATCTGCTGCCAATAACACAATCCCCATCAAAAAACCTTATAAAAATAATGCTCCTTCACCACCTTGGTGGGATCAGGATTGTTCTGTAGCATGTAAGAAGAGAAAGGAAGCTGAAGTAAGATATTCCCTCTCTATGAATTTTGACAACTATATTTTTTATAAAAAAACTGCTGCTGAAACATTAAAATTATTATCTGGGAAGAAAAAGGCTGGATGGGTTAAATTCTGTGTCACTGTCGCCTAGGACTCATCCATCATTAGTCTGGAAAAATATTAAAAAATTCCGATGTTCAGTTTTGGCCTCTGAAAACACAATTTCTAATGATCAGTCTTATTGGCTTGAAAATTTTGCTAGTAATCTTGCTCCTCCTTCAGTATCATCTTACAATGAAAGTATAGTATTTCAATCACAGTCCTTGCACTATCAACACAGTTTTGACTCCCCTTTCTCTTATGAGGAGTTATATGCTGTTCTTAGTGTCCTTAAAGACTCTTCACCAGGAATTGATGGAATTCCTTATTCTTTTATTACTAATAGCAGTGAATCTACTAAAGCCCATCTTCTTTCTATTTTAAATTGTATTTACATGTCCGGTATTCCTCCTGAAGAATGGAAATCCCAAGTTATTTTACCTATTTACAAACCAGGTAAGCCTCACACTGATCCCTCAAGCTACCGCCCTATTGCTCTTTCTTGTACCATGGCCAAAATTCTTGAACACCTAATAAAAAATCGTCTAGAATGGTTTCTTGAAAGCAAAAACCTTCTAGCAAAAAGCCAATTTGGATTCCGAAAGGGCTTAAGCACCATGGATAGCCTTAGTACTCTAGTTACTGATATTCGTATAGCTTACTCTAAACATTAATACCTTGTTGGTGTCTTTCTAGATATCTCGTCTGCATATGATAGTGTACTTCTTCCTGTGCTCAGGCAAAAAATGCTTAATCTGAGTATTCCAGTGAGGATAGTAAATTTTGTCTCTAACTTTCTCTCTTCTAGATCCATTTATATTGATAGTCAAAATTCTCTACTCCCGCCAAGAATTGTATGGAAGGGTCTCCCACAAGGCTCGGTACTTAGTCCTTTGCTCTATTCTATCTATACTTATGATCTAGAACTTTCTGTTAACTCATTCTGTAACATCCTCCAATATGCAGACAATATAGCTATCTATATTTCCTTGGATAACCTTGCTGCAGCTTGTTCCCGCTTGAATCTATCAATGTCCTATTTACAAGATTGGTTAACTGATCATGGTTTGTCCTTGTCTGTTCCCAAAAGCAGTGTTGTCATCTTCTCTCGCCATAGGCAACTCCCTGAAATCGACATTCTCTTTAATAATGAACCTATCCCTATTAGGGAGAATGTAAAATTTTTGGGAGTTATTCTTGACTCCAAACTAACCTTTTCTCATCATATCAACTATGTCTCAAAAAAATGTGAAAAAAATATAAATATTCTTCGCGCGTTATCGGGAGTTTGGTGGGGCTCCCATTCATTCTCTCAAAAAATATTGTACAACGCCCTTATTCGTAGTCATTTGGATTATGCGTGCTTTGTCTTGGAACCATGTAATAAGTCTTCCCTAAAGATCCTAGACAGGATTCAGACGAAAAGCCTTCGTATAATCATTGGGGCAATGAAATCTTCCCCAATAAATGCTCTCCAAGTCGAATGTGTAGAACCCCCTCTTTACCTAAGAAGACAATATCTTTCGGACCGATTCTTTTTTAAAATCTATCAACTCTCTTCACATCCTCTCATTTCTAAATTACACCTTCTTTTGGAATATATTTCAACAAAGCATTACTGGACTCATAAAGAATCTCCCTGCTTATCCAACAGTTTGGTAACATTACTCCATCTACCACACCCAGTATCACAATGCAAGTCCTGTCCCATCTTTGATATCCCATATGATGCAATTATTTTCCAACCAAATATCCACCTCGACCTTGGTATTGAGAAAGATTGCCCTATAGCAAATAGTAAACTAAGTAGAGTCATAGATAATTTATGGAAAGGCTGGCTTATTATATACACTGATGCCTCCAAAAAGTCAGGTGAAAGTTGCACTGGAGCAGCAGTTTGGATTCCCAGATACAAAATAATCCTCAATTTTAAATGCCCTTCTATTTCTTCCACTTTTACTGGCGAGGCCACGGCAATTTATGAAGCTTTGATTTGTATAGAAGCACACAACTTAAATAAGTCAGTTATTCTTACCGACTCCAAAAGCTGTTTGTTAGCAATTTTGTCAAACCAGTTCCAAAGTAAATATAAGTTACCCTTGATCCTCAAAATTAAACACACATTGTATAGATGTCATCTCAAGGGCATTCAGGTTTCCTTAGCTTGGATTCCAGGTCATAGTGGCATTAAGGGCAATGAAACAGCTGATCTGATGGCTAAAAATGCAAGTCGAAATGGTTTGCCATGTAATTTAATTTACTCTTCAGACATAGTGTTACTTGCAAAGAAGAAGTTAAGTAATAATTGGAACACATTATGGAAAGCCACTCAAAATATAAAAGGTAAACACTATCCTGCTATACAATGTGCCATCCCTCCAAAACCATGGTTTTTCAAATTTAATAAAGCTAACAAACAGTCAACATCAACTATTTGTAGACTTAGAATTGGCCATGCTTGTACACCAGTACATTTAGCCAAACTGAGGATTAGGGATAGTTCCCTCTGCGAATGTGGGTTAGTTGAGGGAACCTCAGACCATATTTTTTTTAACTGTCCTAAATTATCTTGTTCACTCTATGATCATCTCCCTCCTGACATCCCTCGTCCTATAAATTTTGATTCACTTTTAACCTACACAAATACTCCTTATGTATATATTCTGTGTGATTTTATTAACACTAATAGTATAAAAGTTTAATGTTTGTCAATACTAATATACTAATGTAGTTATAGCAACTGTGTTTGTCATTTGTTCTAGGTAATTCAACAGTACAACCACTAGTATTACAAGATAAAAAGGGAAAATTTAATTGTTTAAAGAAAATAAGATACTTGTATTATCACAATCTTCTTTAGTACATGGGCATAGTATTTGTAACTACTGAGCTTGTACTCAATAAACACTTCCACACTGACATTGGCGAATAATTAAAACCGCCATAAAAAAAGAAAGAAGAAGAAGAATATATTTTGTCAATGCCGCGTAATTAAAGTTAGCAAGCGTTTAATAAAGTACTAAGGTACTATGAATTGCTTTTAAACACCACCTCAAGTGCCACATATAGAAAACAGCCCCATATTTGTTTTTTTTTATATTTTAGGTTCACCTGGTACCCCATTACATGGCTTTCCAAATCCTGTGTTGGACCCAGACAGATTTCGAACTTGGTTATATGCTATTGGAGGTGACATTTTAGGGCTGGACAATCAGTACATATATAAATATCGCAATGTTTGCCGTCATAATTTCAAGCCTTGTTACCATTTTGGTAACAGAAGATTAACAAATAATGCAATACCTACTTTGAATATGCCTGGTAAGACTAACTAAATTTTTTACTTTTAGTGCCGATTTCACCAACATCAAGTGATGATTAACTGAGGAATAAATTGGTTCTAATATAGAATAAAGAGTGTTTTGACAGTGTTTGTATTGAAAATCTACCAAAATATCAAGTGTCTAGCTGAATAAGCATGCTTGCACCAGCATGTTTTCCTATGCTTATCAGGCTAGAGGCTTTATGCTCAGATATGACTGATTTTATTTTGGTGAAATCAGGCCTTAATTTAACAATTCTAGTTTACATATGTAAGTTAATCTAGTTTTTCTGTTTTCTGCCAGTCAACTGTTGCTTGATAGTACTGTAGCAATTAATTTATACAAGATAAAACTAAAGTAAATAAAACTGCCTTAACATCTTGATAAATCAAAGGTGTACTTACTACATTACTGTAAGTATAAAATTAATATTACTTTCGATTTTAGGGCCTTCTGTTACTAGACGAGAGCCAATGGCGGATATTACAAGTAGAATGGTGAATGTTGAAGAAAATATTTTCAATATGCCTTCAACTTCGAGAGGTAATATTTTCAGTAGTTTCTTTTTAAATCCATATTAAACATTTTCTATAGTTAAAGATAAGCTAGTCAACATAAAATAATATTCAAATATATTTTTTGAAGTGTTTTATTAATCATATAATTTACTGATTTGTAATCAATATACCTGTATATTAATAACAACTTAGTAAAATATAGTAAACTATTAACAATTTATAAAGTATTTATTTAATATCCACAGATGTCACTGCCCCACAAACATCTCACACCCAGAATTGTGATTTTCCAAAAACAACATTGAGAGCAGGTAAATATGAACAAAATAATTGGTCAAGATTATACACAATTCTATCTTGTGATTTATTACCAACATGTGTCAAAAATGCAAAAAAATGCAAATTTCATAGTCAGGCTAGTTATAAAAAAAAAAAAAAATTTAATCATTATTACTTGAGGGGGTGAAAACAAATATTTAAGCTCGTTTTTTGTGTTTAAGAGGCACCCTGATTTTTTCAAAATTTAAATAATGATGATAATGTCGTAAACGTAAACTTTTTGGCCATGGTGACTGCTTGTCGCGGACTCCTATGTATTGGGGCTCTGATGTTAATATGCCTCTAGTAGGCAGTAGCAGGTTTCTATTTCACATCACATTACACTAATATTATAAAGGCGAAAGTTTGTGTGTGTATATGTTTCTTACTCTTCAATGCAAAAACTACTGTACGGATTTGTTTGAAATTTGGAATGAAGATAGATTATACCCTGGAATAACACATAGGTAACATTTTATCCCGGATCATTATAGGGTTACTGTGGGAATAAAAAGAACCATAATCCACGCGGACGAAATCGCGGGCATCATCTAGTATGTTATAAATTTCAATGTCACGTCATATTATTGATTTTTAAACACAATTAGAAATAGACAATAAGGGTTTTCCTTCTTTTGCTACAGAACACTAAAAACATGAACAGATATTTTTGTGATGTTTTTTCCCAATGTAACAAAAATTTACATATTGTTAAAAATGTTTGTTTCAGGTGGTATCAAAAGTAAACATTCATTTAAAAATGTTGCGAAGGTTATGGCTCATCAAATTGCCAAATTAAAAAAAGTAAAGGATAGTTACTCCCAAAGACTGAAAAAAGCTTTGAAGCTATCTGAGAATCCAACCTTTCTTAAGACTATAAAAAACTTTAGTGCGATGGCTGCAATTTTTACTCTGTTACAATTAAGGGAGATTAATAAACCCAAAATGGGGGGAAGATTTACTCAGGAAGAAAAAATAATGGCTTTAAGCCTTTATAAACATGGCCCAAAAGCTTATAGATGGATGAGCAAGGTATTCGTTCTGCCATCATATATGACACTCAGCCGTTTGATTTCCCGAGCTGCATTAAAACCGGGCATTAATGAAAATATATTTGAAATGCTCAAAAAGGCGACAAAAAAAATGAAAGATGATAGTAAACTATGTGTTTTACTCTTCGACGAAATTGCATTAAGCCCACATTTTGATTATAGCAAGAGGAAAGATAGAATTTCTGGATTTGTAGACAATGGGAAAAAAAATCTACCAATAATAGCAGATCATGCTCTCGTTTTTATGATAAGAGGTATATATAAAAATTATAAGCAGCCAATAAGCTATACATTTTCTTCTGGGAGCACAAAAAAGCATGAATTAACGCAACAAATAAAAGAAAATATTTCCCAATTGCAAAGAATTGGTTTTAAAGTTTTATCAACTGTTTGTGATCAGGGTGCCTCTAATGTAAGTGCCCTGAATCAATTAATTGAAGAAACTCGAGCAGACTATTTGAGAAGGGAAAAAGAATATCGATATGACGTTTTCACTGTAAATGACCAAGAAGTCATTCCATTATATGATGCTCCTCATTTAATAAAAGGAATACGGAATAATTTAATAACGAAAAATTTGAAATACAAAATGAATGGGCAGATAAAAATCGCCAAATGGGAGCATTTGAAGCTTTTACATCAAGAAAACCCAGCATACAAAGGAATAAGGTTGGTGAAAAATCTATCCGAACTTCATGTTAATCCAGAAAAAATGAATAAGCAAAAGGTCAAATATGCCACGCAAATATTCAGCCAAACAGTAGCATCAAGCATGGGGTACTTAGCTGGTAATTGTTTCACTGTTTTATTTCTATTATATGTTGAAAAATGAAAACTATAAAAAGCTCAAACTTCTAAAAAACAAAAAATATGTAAACAGATGATACTCTACCTCTACCTCACACCTCAAGGGTCTACCATACTGACTGAGACTGCAAGAAATTTAAAACTACATAATACTATAAATATAAATACTGTTTCATAATATAGTATATATTATAGTGTATAAACCTGTTGAGTAAAAATCCATTTCTTTTTCAGAAAAAGGTGTTCTACCAGAAGAATGCACAGGGACAGCTGACATTCTATTATTTTTTGACGAATTATTTGATTCAGTTAATGGAAGTTATGACAATAGTAAAAAAAGAAGTGGTAAGGAATTACTCCGCCAATTAACTCCGAACTCAAATCATGAGAAGGTATGGAATGATGCCAAAAAAGTTCTTGCTTCAATGAAATTTGTTACAATTAACGGAAGGGTATGTACACCGCCATCAAATACAAACTGGTTAAAAACAATTAATAATTTTCAATATTTAAAAGAAAAATTATTCAATGAATATAAGTTGAAATCCATATGGCTCAGGCACTTTAACCAGGACCCCCTTGAAAACTTTTTCGGATGTATACGAAGTCATGGAGCTCAAAATACGAAGCCATCGTGTGCAGCATTTGAAGATGCATTTGCCTCACTTTTAATAAATAATTTAAATAGTAGCTATTCTCCTGGTTCAAATTGTGAAGAAGATGCTTGTGAAGTATTCAGTAACCTTGGAAATTTACTCTTAAAAGATAAAAACGTTGATAAAGATAACACAACTGAAATTAATTTTGATCACATAGACGACAATATTATTGTAGATTTCAATATTAAAAAAGATAACCCAACAATTAACTCTGCACTTAATTATGTAACAGGCTATGTTCTGCGTAAAGCAAGTAAAATTTGTAAAACTTGCACATCATGCAAAAACGAGTTGTATGCAATTAATGATATAGAAAGTATAAAAATGAGGGAGTACAGTAAAACTGCTAGGTGGTTGACATACCCTTCCAGTCAATTGGTAGAATGTTTTACAGCAATACAAGATATTACAATAAATATAATAAGAACGGCAAGCAATATAAAAAATATAAGGCAATATATAAAAAAGAGTTTTGTGTATAACCATTAATATGGATTTCATGAAATGTGAAAAACATAAATCCGAACTATCAAACTATATCTTTGATTTGAGTTCGAAGTTTTTCATTTGCAACTGGTGTCGTGATGTTAATAAATTGTTGAAGGGCACCAGATTGGATTATGATGTAGAGGACGCAATACAAAAATCATGCTATGAATATTTTAAGAAAAGGAGAAAATAAAAATTAATCATACATTTGTTTTTTTTTATTCCTTCAAAAATATTTTCTGTTGGTACCATCGATCACTAATAAAAAAACTTATTAGTGATCGATGGTTGGTACATATATTTCCAGTCGTATCTCTATATTTTCTAATATGTTTCTAGTACACAATATACACAATGTACACAATAGTACACAAAATAATGTATAATGCGGCCAAACTAAGAATAGGACTGAATTTCCGCCATATTGTGACGTGTAAGTGGGAAATATTAATTTAAAATAACAAATCGTATTTTTCCCGTTAGCACGTCTCAATATGGCGGAAATTCAGTTCTCGTCATAGTTCGGTCGCAATTGCAATAAACCTATATATAGGTACTTACTATAGGTTCTCATTATACGTATGTATGGCAAATTTTTAGTTCCTGCAATTAGAAGCAGATAGCGCCACTCTGAAATATTAGCTGTGTTCTCTATGTCAGTAATATATAATGTACTCTGTGCACACCTTTCTCGAACCATCCGCCATTTTGTTTAACGAACGAAATTGATGACCTTTTTCTTGAGATCACACGTCTTGTTTCTTCTATGGAGTGAAAGTATTATATAATATTAATATTCAAATGATTACGTTACCACACGACAAACGTTTTGTGGTACACATTTATGTAAAATATGAAAATGTGTATACTAAAATATAAATTATAAAAAAAAGTTTAATTTTCAAAGTATTTACACATGCAATAGAAAATACTAAACAAACCGTTTGCAATAACGAAACGCATATATTGACAGTTTTGTGCATACCACTCAAAAAATTAATGTACTTTTAGTAGAAAAATAAACTACCATTTTATATATTATATATTTTAAATTAAACTTTACACGTTTTGCTATACTGAATTTGATGATAAAGATAATAGCTGAAAGAATAAAGCTATTAATGTAGCTTAATACCTCGTTTAGTTTAGATGACATATGAATCAGTGACATACAGAAATTTCTTATACCCTGTTACCATACAAGTTAGTTATACCAGTTACTCGAGTCCAAAGAGTGAGCTTAGTGAATAATTCCTTCATGGGGCAATGTATACGCTTATACAACAAACTCCCAAAAATATTACCTTAATATTACCACCTTATCTTTCAAAAGGTATAAACCAATATATTAAATAGGCAAAAATAGTTTAATAAGGGTTATTTTATTATACTACTAAAAAGTACATGATTTATTATAACTCCTAGGAATTGGGCGATCGCTACCATGCTGATCCTAATTTTTTTTAATAACAATTGTATAAATAGTATATTGTAAGTTGTGGTTAAAAAAAGTCCCGCTGTGTTTCCAGTTGGTTCTTCCCATGACAGTGGTAAAAGTAAAAAAATATTTTCAATAAAAATTACTCCTAATCTGTATTGAATAAAAAAAAATTCTATTCTATTCTATTCTATTCCTCGTGAAGCTGTGGTGTGAAACCGTTTGCTTTTTGTAGTTACTAAATATCGGCGAAAAAAGTACAAGTCAATCCAAAACTCAAAATTTATGATGAAGTTTCACCAAGTGACAACAATAGCATGATAAATCCTACCTTATTACAAGTTTCACTATTTGTTTGCCTTACGTGTTATTAATAATATAAATAATTTTTTTTGTAAGTATTATACGAAATTATTCACTAGAAATCATTTAAAAATAATCATAGAAATCATAAAATTTCTTCATTCAGTTCAAAGAAATGTTTTTAAAGTAAATTTGTGGATCGTAGTTACCCGTGCAATAAAAACCTTTGTGGGTTGCGAAAAATGTAGCTTGCAATATTTTATTACAGTTGGATACTTTTGATAAACATCTTTGAGGGTGACTAATTAATTATAACAAACAGATTAAGTACTTCTATTTATATCACACTAGCTGGTACCCGGCACGTTGCTGCCGCCGTAGAAACAATTGTGGAAATATTGTTTTAAATTTGGTAGAATTAATTTTTTTTTATTAGGAATGAATACACTAATTGAAATTGAATGATATATAACTTTCAAATAAATTTGTCAGTACACGCGCCACCTACTGTAAGCTAATTGTACTATTTCTATAACCTTTGCGCAAGTGGAAGCAATAAGTCAACAAAGTTTTAGCGCAATCTGATGAACGGTATGACATTGCGTAAAATACAAATAATAATTTTATGTATCAGATTACTTAAAAAAATTATTAAAAAAATTATTGACTTCAATAGAAGTAAGTAATAGAAGTATCCTTAGTAGGTATCTATTAACTTAGTATTTAATATATTATATTAATTTTAAGATGAATGCTTGGTAGACGCTTATGAGCGTTGGTAATAATTGCAAATCAAAACTGGCCATACCAATAATATTTTGTTTTTAGAATAAAAAATAAAACAGTGCACTTCAGGGGGAGGAAAGTTGGTAGTAAAAATTTGAAGTCTAAAATGTATGGAAACAGGCTCCCTCTAAGGCCCGCCATATACATACGGAATTCCGTTTCGAGATTCCGTTTCGGAATATCGAAACGGAATCCCGAACGCAGCAAGTCCATATAAAATCTATGACCCGCCACACACGTACGGTCGTTTTCCGTTCGACATTTTGCGGGCAAAACGGGATTCCGTATGTGTGTGGCCGACCCGTTCGGAATTCCGAAACGGAATTCCGTATGTATGTGGCCGGCCTAAAGCTAGGGTCCCACGGCCTGCCAGGCGACAGGCCGCGCCAGGCGTTGTCCCGCCTGTATGGGCCTGTCGCGGCCCGTACTGAGCGTTCCCACGGCGTGTGCCGGCCTGGTGCGGCCTGTCGACTGACATTCCAACATGTTAAGTGATACGGAGCGCATGGCTGCGTGTGCAGCCGCTGTGGTTTTATTCAGTGATGAACGTTTGATAAACCAAGCTTTTTCTTTTTTAACTCCGTGATAGGGATAGTTTCATCCTTAAAATTAGTTTTTATGCGTAACCACGCATCATGGACATCATTCTTGTTTTTATGTTGAGGCGACGTACTATTCCAAAGCGCTGGTTCATTATCATAAAGAGTTAAAAACTCGAATATAAGCTCGTTCGTCCATTCCATCATGAGCATGTACGCGCAAGCGCCACCGCAGTTGAAATGAACGATTGCAACCGACGCAGACGCGCCCGTACAGGCCGCGACAGGCGCCGTCGCGCCGCGCCGCGCCGCGCCTTTGATCTTACCGACTCTCGATGGATCGCACGGGCGCCAACAGGCCACCACAGGCCTCATCGGATGCGATGGTTCCCACGGCCTGTTGTCCGGCCTGGCGCGGTCTGACCTGTGACAAAACAGGCCGTGGGACCCTAGCTTTAGACGTTTCGCGAAAAAAGTTTGGCGCCATTTTTAATAAAATGTCAACAGGTACTCTATTCAATAGATGTTGACAATAGAGTCTATTGTCAACATCGCCATTTTCTATGAGCGATTATGCATCGAAGGAATTCACGACATTTACTTTGTTAACCTAATAATTTTCTTTGTTCTTATTAATCTTTTTGTTACATTACATTCATTACTGTTATTTTGTTCTTACGATGTCGTCACGAAAAAAGATTTGTGTTTTTGGATGCGACGAATAAGGTAAGAAATGTTTGAAAACCTATCACATAAACATATTGATAATTCAACGGGTGCGGTCAACCTTTTTAAAACAATCAAAACAAATTGTGGAAAGGTTACTTGGAATTACAATTTCACACTGTTATACTAATAGAACGTTTATTTTCAGGTGCATCTATACATAGGTTCCCTCATCCTATAAAGATGTTTCATATTTGGATGTCGAAAGTTGGAAATAGATTAGAATTGAACCAATGAAAATTTTCACTACTAAAAAGATATGTGATTATCACTTTGAATCAAATTACATAAGTACAGGTCATCATATAATCTTAACAGCTGTTCCAACTTTGTATCTTGAAGGTGAGTTTTAAATTAAAAACAATATAATCAACATGTATATGTTTAAATGGTAGAATTAGATACTGTATGTAGGTGTCACATTCATTGAATGTGTATGTGGTAGTGTACGTTAAACATCGATAGACTATCGATGGTATCGATAGTAAATGGCTATCGATACTATCGATAGTTTTTAAAACTATCGATCGATTGTTTACTCGGGTACTACTTTTACATCCCTAGAGTCGAGGTATGCATGTATGTAAGTTATACCCCGGCTATAGTGACAAAGGTATAGACATTGAGATTGTTCTCTATGGTAGGGGAATTACCGTGCGTATATCATACATTCAAAGGCGTAGACATTGAGATTCTTCTCTATGGTTGGGGAATTACCGTGCGTATATCATTCATTTACAAGACAAAAGTCAGTCAGTCAGTTTTTTATTGTGGATGTTTGAAGTTGAGTGGAGTAACAAACAATTTAGAATTAAACAATAAAACATGAGTAGTAAGTCACGTGCGTGGGATTACTTCAAAAAGACTAATGGAAAGTTTGCCAAGTGTTCTTTGTGTAAAAGAGAGTTTAAACTAAGTGGAAATACTACGAACTTGATCGATCATATGAAGAGAAAACATAATGAGGTATGGATGTGGTCATCCACTGTTTCTGTTACTCAAGACGTAGATACCACTGAGCAAAATGAGAAAATGGGCCCAAGCCCTAAAAAGAGAAATACGCTAAAAAATTATTTTGATAGAAGTAGTAAATATCCAGATGGGAAAACAAAGCAAAATTTGGATAACAAATACGTGCGCATGATTGCTGTTGACATGGAACCTTTGCGAAAAGGAGAACATGAAGGATTTCGGGATTTTGTAAATGCTCTCGATAGTAGATATGAAATTCCTGATACAACAATATTGAAAAAGAAATTACTGCCGGAATATTATGAAAACGTGAAACAGAAGCTCGTCATAGCATTATCGAAAGCAGAACATGTTAGTGTGACTACTGACTTATGGACATCAATTGCAAATGAAGGCATCCTTTCAGTTACTTGTCATTTCTTTCACAACGAAAAATTAATTG